AACTAAACGAATAAATTGTATGCGAGTAAATCCTATACCGCTGTGCAGACTACTTTCATGTTTCAGATTTGTTTAAAATGTTATTATGAAACTGTAAATGAGGTGAATGAGTAACGATGTACTTTTTCGTTCGGTTGGTGTAAGATCAGTCAAAAATTATGTGTAACCTTTTAGTAAAAACACACTTTCTTGCGACAGTTTTGATAGAAATAAATGTTGTGAGATGATATTTTTCCATTCAATATATCAAGGTTGTGGTCATAATCCATTATCTAATATAACACTTGACTGCTGTCATCTAAAAGCGAGACACGTAAAATACTAGATAAAAGAAAATAATTTTAGATTCATGTTATAGAAAAACAAGAAAAAGGTAAATCGTTAGTCATTTATCTCATCTATAGTTGAATAATAACATTTTAATCAAATATGAAACATAGTTGCTTATCATAATTTGATGCCCAAAAAATTAAGAACTATTTGTATATATAAATATTGTAACAGTGATTCATCTCATGTATTATTTCGAAATAACATTTTGATAAAATTTGAAACATGAAACACAGCCTTATAGCATTTACTCGCTCAATCTATTCGTTTAGTTGCTTATGAATATCTCAATAACCACAACTGCGTATTCGTTATACAGTACTGGCGTGGCCGAAAACACAAATACACGAATCTATTTTTATTTAGCCTCTTTTCGTCTAAGCAAGACGAAAACACTGCGCTTAATCGACATTTGTCGATGATTGATGAGAAAAAACTCTTGTTATAAATCACATCAGTGGTACAGCTACAGACAAAAGAAAGTGTTGCACCAAGCATATCATCCTTGTTGTTGAAAGACATACAGAAACTCCCAAACGCACAGAAAAGAAAATAATTTTTGATTCATGTTATAGAAAAACAAGAAAAAGGTAAATCGTTAGTCATTCACCTCATTTATAGTTTCATAATAACATTTTAAACAAATCTGAAACATGAAAGTAGCCTGCACAGCGGTATAGGATTTACTCGCATACAATTTATTCGTTTAGTTGCTTATCATAATTTCATGCCGAAAAATTGAGAATTCCTTGTATATATATATCTAAATATGTATATGTACAACAGTGGCTTTGCCAAAAACATCGAGGAGCAATGTGCATCTGATAGTGCCGGTGTATTTTTCAAGAGCAGTAGCTATATGCTCGGCGCAGCAAGTTGTTGTCCGGCTATTGTTTTCTGCCTATCTGTGAGTTAATGAGTGTCTTTCCAAATCGACGTATTATGGCAAACCGTACTTTAAAGTTCTGAATTAAGGTATAAAACGAAATATATTCAGTGTAAAAATATTGTCTTAGATCATTTATCTCGATCAAAAGTAACATCAAAAAGTGTTTAATACATTAGAAAAAGAGGATATGCGGTGTGTAAATGGTGAATACAATTAAGGGTGTTAACTTCTAGAACAGCCGTGAAATGTCATTTTTTAACCCATAATACGGGTAACTGGTGGTTGTGTTGACGTTGCGATTGATGGAAATGCAGCGACACAAACGGATCCAGCGGAGATAGCGGCAAACGCCGCTGGAACTAAACAAAAGAAAAGCGCAAACATTTGAGCTTAAAGATTTCCCTATTGCTTCGTACTTGTTGAGTCAGCATTTAAAATTGTCAATTGAGAAGTGAGTGTTTGACCATTACACGTAGTTATAGTGCTTGTAAATAAAGTACCAACCAAGGACTGAATAAAACTTGGTCCAAAACAAAATGTACATGTTATTAGATTAAATTGAATTGTTAAATATAAGAATTGGCCATTGGCACGCTTTCTTCTTCTCAATGCACTAAAAGCAACAAAAATGAGTATTTGAGACATGAATTATAGGGGTACGAGCATACAATATATTTCGTTTCTTTCGTCCAGTTGCTGGTGTATTGAAACCGGATGCTGTAACAGTAACGGTACCGCGTTGAAGCCCACGACTATCTTCGATCTAAGATGAACTATATGAGGTTTGTATTTTTACTCGTTTATACTTACTGCTCTTGCTAAACCATCAAAATTCTGACTGGGTATCTGACCGTTGTCATTAGCGGTATTATTAACTTGTACTGTTAAGTAAACAGGTTCCGTTTCTGAAAGGAAAACATGATTTTATAGGGAGTTGTGTCTTTCTTCTTCAAATCTTACGAAACACTCGCTGTGTGCGGACTCTGGTGGTGGGAAGATAGGCTGGAATGACGCCGATTACGATGGCAGAAGCAAATAACAGGCCGCCAAATAGAAGAAGACAACATAAACCTAGACCACCTAGACCAAATAGGCCTCGGTTTTGAGATGCGGGTTGAGCAGCCACAGGAATAGCCGCAGGAACGGGTCTACCGTACATATTATTGCTAGCAACAAAGAAATATATACAAATACGATCTTCTGTTCATTTCTTCATTGATGGAAAGCAAAAATAGAAGTTTGAATTCTTACCTCAATTAGTTTATTTTCTGACCGTAAAAGAGGATCGTATTTAAATCAACAATTGTAACTCAAATGATGTTATAAACGGAGGCTAGCTTGTTTGTACCTAGTCTCACAAAAAAACGAATTTTTTTTTCTTTTTTCTGCTATAATTTGAAGCTTTTCGTATAGTGCATTAACATCGTCAGATTCTATACGCTGATACCTACGCAGTATGCTAAGTGATGCATGTAAATACGCATCCGTTGTAGTAGGTAGTTTCATCATGCCTAATAACAACCGATCAGATGAAGAAACTAATCTCTCTCCTTGGATAATGTTATACAAGTCTTGTGTGTACATTGAAAATTTCACTTTTTCCGGGGAAAAGAACAACACACTAAAACATAATAATGTGGTAGAGCATATAAGCACATGGGATATACAACATCGATAGGTAATAAGAAAGCGCAACAAATAAACAATGACTATTGTATGTTTCATATTTCGTATGTTCTCCAACCTGAAATATACTTCACGGTTTCTTAAGAGCCATTGCAAATAAGCGACGACCAAGTACTGCAGAAACTGCTCAATCAACTTTCTCCAAACTTGATTTCAATTACATAGGTCAAAAGTACCATCAATAGCAAGTCTTTTGCCGCAAATCGCAGCTTTACAGCCCAAGTGGTTATTGAGATATTCAAGTTTTAAGA